GGTTATTTTGTTTCTAGTATAAAAAAAATTAAGTATAAGCTGGGGAGTGTGAGTTGCCCCACATATCCATGCATTCTGCAGGAGTATATAGTAGTTGCCTCTTAGCTAGTCAGAAATTCTGCTGTTCGACACCGACAGGCAGTTGCGCGATTTTATTTGACCGGAAGTGAGCATTTGCTTGGCTTCTATTACCCCGATAGTAAATTCCCGGGTGGATCTATTATGTCCGCCCGATTCAATATTATTGCATTATGTACCTAAAATAAATAAATATTGTTCGACACAGGATCCATAGTATAATGTATAAATGTTTACAAAAAATGTTATAAAGAGTGAGACGTAGAAAAATATTGGTCTATACATATATTATTGTTGTAATCATAGGGAAAATATTAGACATGAAAACAGCTAAAGACCGGAAGAACTGGAAACGGAATCAGGGAAAGACGAACAATCATGCACCCAAGTGGGTATAAAGATTCTTAGTTAAGAAGATTTTTATTTATTATTTAGATTTTAGATCCTTCTTTTACTCAAAAATTTTTTACCATTACATTTTATCAAATTTAATATATACATTTTATTACTTTTATTATTTGTTAGTTCGTTCATTTTATTTTCATTTCTATACCTGAGGATAGAAATTTTTGTTCGTACCCTTGTATAGTTTGCAAGCTTAGGGTCTATTTATACTCCCTTATTATTAGTATTTGCATTAGTATTATGATTAAGCATAAAGTTGAACCTTCACAATGTAATGGGGACATTTATACTCGATTTATGATTAGTATTAGCATTAATATTTATGCCTAATAATTGACAGGTTCAACTTTTAAATTAAATATTAAATTTCTTCTTTTCTATAAATAATCAATGGCGTATTTGGCCTTTGTTTTTAATAGACAACGGATAAGGATAATTAACAATACACATATGATTATGTTGTTTATATGTTTGTTCCAACAAGCTCGAAAACGATAATATTTCGGTACAAATCATGCTCTGTATACAATTTTTGTGTATCATCAGTGTTCACCGATTATAAAGTTGACAAATGACATGTCACCACGAGGAAGCAAAGGCCTCTTTTCTGTCTGATTTGTATCAAATTTCTGCTTCTTTTTATTTGTTATAAATTTGAGACTTAAATCCGTTAAAATGTCCTTAATTAAACCTATTTTTGAATAATAATATTTTTAAATAAAACTAACTAGTAAAAATATTAATAGAAACACATTTAAAACTCAAATATCTTAAAAGAACACAACCGGCCTCTTACACATTTCTTCAGTAACCATATATTTTGTTGACTGCAGAATTATATCTTATTAGGTATTAGGTTTAAAAAAGAATTACTAATACTAATTATAAAACGAGTATAAATACCTTTTTTGAATGATTTAACAAATTTAATGCTTAATCATAATACTAATACAAATACTAATACTAAGGGAGTATAAATAGACCCTTAGTTAACAAAACCATAAGACCGAATTTGTACTTACCATCAGCATTCAGTTAGTTATCTGCATGTCGATGTTGTCGGCAGCGTAGGTATTCAGAAACAGAAATTACTCACATTTATATTTTATTCAAGGAATAAATCGAGGGCCAAGCCTACTTACTGCGCTCTTTTGCAACTTAATGATTCCACATTCTCAACAAATGAGCATTGAACTCTGAAGCAAGTCGCCCGCTCCATTGCTTTGCTTGTTTGATTAAATTATAATAAGTTCAAGTACAATTTTCTTACTTATTACGGGGATAGAATGAAAAGTTTCTAAAGTTACCGTTATTGTTGATTACTTCGCCATAATCATACTTTTTTTTGTGAAGAATCTTTGTTCGTTGAAATATTTTTTATGAAACCTTATAAATAAACAGTACGTTAACCAACGCATCAAGCAATATAAAGATAAGATATTTGACTTGAGACTATATAAAGAGAGTAACTTGGTTCACAGTTTAAAGATATATTCTTTAAACTGTGCTTGGTTTAACCACGAAATAACTAACAAGGTTTAACTAAGCCCTTTCGATGGCAAGGAAGGGATATTGCAATTCGCAGTCAGCGATATATTATATAATATAATAAACTCTATTTATTCTTTTCATTACAATAATTGTTTTTACAATTTTTTATTTACAAATTATAGATGCTGAATAAATAGATATACATTTAGTCCGTTGAACCAATGAGGTTGTGCATGGACACTAAAAGGAAAATATAAAACATGTGTAACGTGTGTAAAAAAATAAAGTATATAATATAAGTATGTTATCTATATATTTTTTTTTTGTAAAGAGAGGAAGGAGAAATAATTTCTTAATTAACTAATTTAAACTTAGTTTTTAAGTAGTGTTTATTAGGTTGCTAGTTTTATCTCTTCCTAGTAAATATATTTTTTAAATATATTTTTAATGAAATTTTCTGAATTTATTTTGAATAGTTGAAGAGATAGGTTTTATATATTTCTGGAAGATAGTTATAAATCTTACGTGATAGGTAACTATAAGAACGAAGACTAACGTTTTTTTGTAGTAATTCTATGACTGCATTATCGGTACCTTTGTACCTGATGTCATAAACATGATTAACTTTTTCCAATAGTGTTTTATTTTTGTAAGTAAATAATATAATTTGATTCATAAATAATTGTCTAATATCAAGTAGACCAGATTCAAAAAATAACAAATGAGATGGATAAGAAGATGGTTTATTGAATAATATTTTTATAATACGTTTTTGTATTATATCAAGTTTTTTTAAATGACAATTAGCAGCACCTCCCCAACTCAATATAGCATAACGTAAACGAGATTCAACAAGAGAATAATAAATTATTTTCAAGAATGATTGGTCTAATATATTTTTTAAATGTTTTAAACGATATAAAAGTTGTCTTAGTGTTTTCGTTATATTATTAATGTGCGCATCCCATTTTAAATGTCTGTCTAAAGTAACTCCTAAATATTTATAACTAGTTTTGCATTCTATTATTATATCTTATCTTATGGTTAGAGTTTGAAAATCTGGCAAACATCTTGTATCATTCGAAAAAGGCATGAAAAAGGTTTTTTCAAAGTTTACTGTCAATAATTTGTGTCGAAACAGATCTAGAATTTTTGCCAGATCCTTTTCAGCTTTATTTTTCAATTCCCCCACTTATCAGCACTGTATAAAATAGCATCTGCGAAACTAAGAAGTTGTCCAGCTGTGTTTTCTGTAAGTATATTATTTATATACATTGTAAATATAATGGGTTCTAATACTGTCCCTTAAAGCAGCCCATAGTTAATTATTTTTTCATTGCTAATTACGTTACCTATTTTGACTACTTGTTTTCGATTATATAATCAGCAAGAGGTCATTTGCTGTTCCCCTTATTCCTGCATCCCCCAAGACTTCCAACATTTGCGTATGACTTACAGTGTCAAATGCCTTGGCGAGATCAAGAAATACGCAGATCACAGGTTTACTTATTTCCAAACATTTTGTAATATTTTCCACGAGTTTCCCTATTACATCATTTGTCGATAAGCCTTCTCTAAATCCGAACTGTTTTTCTGATAGTATATTGTTAGCATTTAAAAAATTTACTACCCTGTTTTTTAGAACTTTTTCAAATATTTTTCCTAACGTGCATATAACTGATATAGGCCTATAATTATTTATATTTTTTATGTCTCCTTTTTTATGTATGGGTGTAACAACGGCTATTTTAAATTCATGAGGTATTTTGTTTGTTATAAATATACTGTTTATGATATGAACTATGGGCATAGAAATTATTTCAGATGTTTCTTTAAATATTTCAGTTTTTATTTTATCCAAACCGGGCGACTTTTTACTTGTATTTATAATATCTAATATTTCTTTGTTATTTACAGGATTTAAAAAAAAATTATTTTGATTTTTATTTGCACGAGGTGAAGGGGTATCTGGAATCGTTATATTTTTAGCATAAGATTCCCCAACATCAATAAAAAAATCATTGAATGCATCTGCTATACTCTCTGGAGTATTTAATTTTATATTATTATGAATAAATATCTCCTTGGGTTCACTTTTACTTTCATTAGCGCAAATATTTTTAACAACATTCCAGAGGTTTTTTGAAATATTTTTATTTATATTTATCTGTTTTTTATAGTAGTTATATTTAGCGTTCCTAATTAGTTTGTTTAAAAATCTCTTATATAATCTAGCATTTTGATGAAAACGAAAACTGAATTGTGGTCCTGATCTGGCAAATGTATTCGAGTCTACAGAAAACAAGAGTCCACGACAGCGTGGTACAATGTACAATAAACTCGCCATTTTGGTGGAGGATCAATAATGGTGTGGGGTGGCATCAGTTCCAATGGAAAAATTGAGCTCCTTGTACTTCAAGGAGTGAATTTGACGGGATATCGATATATTACGGACAATTTACAACGCCATGCATTGACTTATGCCCAAATTTACGACGAGTTTATTTTTCAACAGGATAATGCCCTCCTCATGTTACCAGAAAAGTTCGAAACTGTCTTGAAGAAACCCATGTTTTCGATAGAACACATAGTGGGACGAGTTAGGAAAACGAATGAGACAGATACAAATGCCAAATAACTGCAGTTGCTTTACTTCAAAAATGGGAGCAGATAACAAATAATTTAGCACTTAATCAACGTCGATATCTAAACGTAATACGAATAAATGGAGAACATACCCTTTACTATGGCAGTGTAGAAGGGGAAAAATGAAAATTGTTATTTCTTTAAATTCATTTATTTTTTGTCTGATATTTTAAATCTCCCTATAGATATCAAATGTTTCTTGGCATCATTTTAATGAGCACAAAACTACGCAACTTTTGTCTAATTTAACAAACGTTCTATTTGTTACAGTTTAAAAAAAGCAATACTGTCCCTATGAAATAGTATATTATGTTAAAATGTTTTATTCCTCAACACTATTTTTGTTTCTAAAAATTCTAATCACTTGTTTTTTTTTATAGATGCAGAATATTTCCTTCATAGCGGTTTTAGTCACTACATGTATTTGGAAACCATCCTCGAAGAGACCTCCGATGATCTTCGATCGGAAAGTGACGGCGATTCTCGGGGCTCCCCCGTGGGCTGGCTAGCAACCGATTCTGAAGCCGGTTCTGTCATTTGCATCGATCCACCAGGTAAGAAAATAATTATTATTATCATCATACCTACACATTTGTTACTCCTAGAAGTTTCTTGTAATAGTATAAAGTCCTCGATAAAATCAGTATACATTATTAGTGCGCAATTGTTCAATATTTCAATTTGTATTATTGACACGCAAACAAGTTTCAAATAAAAGTTATGTGGTTTTTAAAAATGCCCATTTTAAAAATATTTTTGAATATACAAGGTGTTGCATTTTTGTCTGGTAAATAAAAATGTATATTTTTTAAATAAAACACCCTGTATTTTATTTCAGTTTTAGAATGGTTTGATAATACTGTAGTCAACCCTAGAATTTTTTTAAAAAATATTACAGGGTTGCCGAGCAATTATTTTTTTTTTTTTTTTTAATTAGAGAATGAAGCAGACCCCAAATTAAATTATCATAATTTAGGTAGGTTTACAATGATTTCAAAATTGTTAAAAACACAGGCTTGATAAGATACTAAGCTAACGAATAATGGTGATAGAACTGGTTTATGTTATACAGAGTGTCTTGAAACATGTCTTAAATATGGCCAATTTTAAGTTCAATTTACTAAATTGTTTCAAGTGCAACACCCTGTATATTATTTTAGCATAACATTTCTTATTAATTTACCTATATAACGATACTAACATGTTAGCCAATAACACATATACATGGTGTCCCATCAGTGCGTAATTGATCGATAGCTGTTTTATTATTAGAAATACGAAAAAAAATTAATATGAAAGTTTAATACATGTTCCTAATTATACAGGGTGGTCCATAAACGAGGGGCTGACCAAACTTATACATTTTAAATCAAAACATCCTGCAAACAATTTTAAGAGACTTCATTTATTTGCTATCTTGTATATAGGGTGTGTTACAACGCGGGTAACGTTTTTGTCAATTTTTTGATTTGTTATTCCCACAATTTTTCCCATGTTCGTTTTTATTTCAAATCAGTTTCTGAATAAATATCTATATTTTGTTTTATAAAAACGTATTTAAAACATATTTTCAAAACTTGAAAATAGTAACATAAAACTACTCTTTGGTAAAAAACGAACATGACAAAAATTGTAAAATAATAAATAAATTCTTCTTAGTTAAAAAATCAGTCAGTGTGAACCTTAAACGTTTAACAAGTATGTTATTATTTAAATAAATACATAGTTTTTAAATAGTTTGTTCTTGATTTTAAATGTAACACTGTTTTGTAAGAAAATGTCATGAATTTCATATACATTGGAAAATGTCAAAAATTCTTATAGGAAAAGATTCCTCTACTACTCAAGAATCGACCCCCAGACATATACAACATATAAAACATTAACTAGGAAAATCAAAACAAATAATAAATAGTATAAGATTGCGGGTAATAAGTACTCCCAAGATCAACCAAAACAACCTAGTCTAGCCGAATTACCATATTTAAAGTTTATTTTAAAGATTTTCCCTCAAAATCAACATGGTCAAGCAAAAATCCTATATTTTAAGTTTATTTTCATTTTTCCCCTTTTTCCCATTTCCATATTTTTGCAGTAAAAATTCCCATAGGATGGAAAAATTCCCACAAGTTGGCAACACTGTTTTGGATGATGTTGTAAAATTTAGAGGGGATAAAAATGCTGCTTAATCATGCCGTACGCCACTGACAAAGTTTATTTAACTGATTGTTTTGCTGATATGACACCAAAAATGTTTACCGAATTTAGTAAAATTATACTGAGAATTAAAAAAAAAAAAAAATTATAGTCATTAATAATTTTTGAATTTTCAACTTTAACACATTGTATTTCGGCAATCAATAATATTTTATTTAAGCATGTTTCGTTTAATAGTATTATTTTTAATCAGATAATCTTCATTTGTTCTGTATCCCATTCTTAATGAGACCCTGTATTAACGGTTTCCTAGTACTAAAACATATTGCATCTATTTACACCCTAACCAGAAGAAAGGAACATTTTTGAACTATATACCTAGTACACCAAATGGAAGAAAATTGAAGAAAAATTGACATAAAAATTAAAGAAGATATTCTAGAACAGACACCATTGTAAGAGAAAGTAATCTTGTGCAAGATATAACCAAGAAAAGAAGAAAAACTTTACTGATAATTTTTTAAAGAGGTAGATCTAAAGAAGGCTAAAAAGAAATTGAACGAATTGTGAGAGTTGCGTGCTATATGTCTTAGCCCAAATTATTTTTTTTGCTACAGGAAGTTTTTGGTAAAAATGAGTAAAAAATCATTTTAAAGAAAGAGTTCAGAAAAATTTCTAAAGTAGTTATTATAAGATATTTGAGTAAAAGGTGCTATCTATACCTCAGAAATACTCTTAAGTATCCCTTGCTGAGGATTTAAACTTTACAAAAGTGCTTTTGGCTGTGTTTAATGCTTGTAAGAAACCATCTTATCTGCTTTTAAATGTATGGCGGACAAAGCTGCAATTAATTTAATAATATTGAATGATAATTGCAAACCCTGTAGGTATAATACAAATTGCCTTTTACCTTAAACCTTTTTCTGACATACGACCCATTACTATTACCACGACAATTAGATAATGTTTGTTTTGTGTTACCAGATTTATCAAATACGGAAGTATACCTCATTTCTTATTCACCAGTTGAGAAAGAGTAGTTTTGTTATATAGCCGTAGAAAATATATTTTTTTATAATTGATAATTTTTTAATTATTAAGAAAACATATTATAAAAACAGATATTATTGTTTCTGTTTTCAATTAATGAGTAAGAATTTATCTACTGTTTGAGTTTAAAATTTTATATTGTCTTTATATTCGCAATTTAGTTTTCTGTATCTTGAGGCATACTAACACATATAAATTACATTTGCCAAAGTATTATGTTTTTCTTAAACTGTATTCAGTAATGTGGTAAAAAAAAATTACTATTTATTTCATAAAAAGTAAACTGTAAGCGTCGATAATTACTTTAAATTGTAACATTTTACATTTTTAAGAAAAATCCAGGGTTCGAAAATATCATGATATTTATATAAATATCATATCACATGATATATATCTGATATATATTTAATTAAAAAACAGTATTGTTTCTTGCACAAACTATATTTTAAATTTTAACACAAACATATTAACAAACACCTATATTCTAAACAACAAAACCGTTTATTCTAATTCAATTTAAGGAGGTCCTTTCGCCACCCCTTTCGCCATCAATGTTAAATAAAAAATATTAGATTATGACTAAAATTAATATTTTTCTAATAGTTGAAGTCCTTATTTATCTAATAGTGAACTTTTAACTATACCTTAACGTGCAAATTTTTGAGAATTTGTACTGTATTTGTACTGTGTTTTACGAGAAAGTAAGACATCAACAACAATTCTCGAATTATACTATTATTTATTGATTAGATGGAGTAGAAAAAAACTAAAAATAAAGTTTTTGAAATATTTAGGTTTTGTTTTTTACAATAAAATATATAGGTTACCGTGGAATTTATTGAGGAATTAATATTAAAAAATCAACTAGGTTACTTGAAATTTTTTTTAATATTAATTTCTCAATAAATTTCACGGTAACTATATATTTGATTGTAAAAAACAGAACCAAAATATTTAAAAAAACTTATTTTTAGTTTTTTTCTACTCCATCTAATCAATAAATAATAGTATAATTCGAGAATTGTTGTTGAGGCCTTACTTTCTCGTAAGACACTGTACAAATACTCACATTTTTAAAAAAAATTCTGAAAAATTTGCACGGTAAGGTATAGTTAAAAGTTTACTATTAGATAAATAAGGACTTCAACTATTAGAAAAAATAAATTTTAGTCATAATCTAATATTTTTTATTTAACATTGTTGGCGAAAGGACCTCCTTAAAAAAAAGAAACAAAAATAATTATTAAAATAAGCAGATTTTAACCTTATTTTATTAACAATTATATTTTAATACAAACACATATAAATCGCTAGTTATTATAGTTTTATACAGGGGCGTATTAAGACATTTTCGGATGTATAAGGTATAAATATCATGATATATATCGTGATATATATCGTGATATATATCGTGATATATATCCTCTGAACCCTGGAAAAATCATTAATAATACATTCTTAATTTATGGTTTTCCACGTAGATGCTTTCGCTCTAATTAGGTTATTTATTTGCAAAATTGTCTAAATGCAATATTTTTTGTTCTGCATTCTATATTTTATGAATTTTCCGAAATCTTTATTGATAAAAACAAATCCTTACATCAAATATTTTAAATGATAAAGATATACCTGCTTTTGTCACAACCAAAGACGAATTTTTCGTAGTTGGTAAGAACGCTTGTTAATTCTGTCAATAGCTAATGAGAATGTGCGTAATTTGAAGTTCATGTCAGTCAGACATGATACAGCACAAACAAACTTATATGGAATCACTCTGTATTTCTCAATAAACTTTTTGTAAAGAAACAATTTGGTATCCAATTTTAAGATAAGGCTTTTCGTTCTAAACAAACATGATAATAAAAAACAAACGACTGCTACGATTCATTTTCTAAAATCACGGGTAATTTTATATCGGTCCAAAAAAAAACAAAAAAATGCATTATGTTGGACTAACAGATGTGCACGGGAAGAATTATTGCTCTCATTGAACAAGGAGTAGCCCAAAGAGACGTAGCAGAGGTGATAGGCGCTACCCAAGCTCTTGTATCAAAAATATATGAAAGGTTCTTGGAACTAGGAACTCTCAAGAACAGTTGCAGACAAAGGCGGCAAGCAGTCATAACTGAACAACAAGACAGCTTTGTGTGCCAAATTCCTGAAAGAAATTCATTGTTTCTCATCCAGAGCTTCAACGATAACTTCTGAAAGCTACAGGTGTGAACGTTTTAGTTGAAACTATAATAAAAAGACTTCGCCCTTGAGGGTTGTGCAGTAGGAGAGAGCTACGGGTCCCACAGTTATGTAGGCAAAATACAATTGACCGGCTAAATTGGTGCCTTCAACA